ACCTAGCATTTTTATGGCTTTATGAAGGACCATGAAATGTGCTTTGATAACTTTTTGACCTCAAGAGGAGGTTAAACATGGATTTGTTGACTGTTAACAAAGGACTGAACTGCTTTTGCTATTAGAGCCCCTTCACCCGCCCCTCCTCCCACCCTCACCCCCACTCTCCCCACCCACCACACTATGCTCGCGCTCGACGCATATCCATGATAACGTTAATATAGCGAAGTCATTAAAGCTACACAGCTATATCTTTATTACTGTACTACCGGTATAGCAAAGCCTATCAACGCGTGGCGGAGGGCGCACTTGATTCGGTTGCCAGTGAGTTTATCAGAAGAATAGCCGGCTACAGTACACGTCAGTTGAGCGCTGTCGCTCTGCGGCACTTGTTTATTCTTGTAATAAATGTACTAAATAATGTAGTATAAACGGAAGGTGAAACGTGAAAATCTTGACAAGGAAATTTTGACAAAGAGTATTTGTGTTTGGACACCCATCAGTTTTGACCTCTGAAACATGTATTGCATACTGATAAGTTTATGTGGCTGTGCACGAACATTTGACAAAGAGTATTTGTGTCTGGACGCCCGTCAGTTTTGACCTCTGAAACATGTTTTGCATACTGATAAGTTCATGTGAATGCAGGAACATTTGATAAAGAGTATTTGTGTCTGGATCCCCATCAGTTTTGACCCCTGAAACATGTATTGCATACTGATAAGTTCATGTGACTGTGCACGAACATTTGACAAGAGATATAGGACACCGCTGAAACAAAAAAGTTTTTCAATCGCTCCGTCAGACCATGTCCTCAGAAAATGTCTAAAATCTGCCCTGTGCCCCATTGACCTTTGACCCGTGACCTCCAATTTCAGCACAGTGATGGCTTTTCCTACCATGATGCTATACACCGACTATCACGAGCCTAGGTCGAGCCATTTAGATATGTGCCGCAATTCTGCATTTCCTCCCTATACCTTAAGTTAAGAAGGGAATGTTCCCCCTTCTTTTACACCTCAAGACCTTTGACCTTTGACCCCCAGCTTCGACATCCCAACTCGTTTTCGGATTACCCCCCACGCCCCGAATATCGTGACCGTACGTCGAGCGGTTAAGATTTGTGCCCAACTGTTGACGCACGGACGCACGGCCGGACGGACGCACGCTCATGCGATTCTACAAGCTGCATCTGACTATGTCAGATGAGCTAACAAGAGAGATAATCTTAGATGTATTCCAGGAAGATGATAGTTGGCATCACCATCTGATAAAGCACAAAAATTATTCGTAGGTAGTACTGGGATGGATAGTTTATCTCCAATAAAAATTTCGAGAGTGAAAGTGTGTATCATACTCAGTAGGTCAGCCTACCTTGTTATTCCTGAGCAGAGCACGTGCCATGCACACAAGTTGTCGTTCGCCCACCGAGAAGTTCTCTCCATTCTCAATAACCGGCGCATTCAGTTGAAGCTCTAGATTCTTAATCTGAAAACAAACATGACACTAGTATGGCACACATATAGTATGACACACGAACATGACACACATATAGTAGAGTAATGATAGTTATGATGATCTCTAACAGCTATTGCTAGCTCTTATAGATATTATATCCCTAGGTGGACAACCTGCGGCAGAATACTCCGTGCCAGCGTGTTGTTTCAAATTACCCATCTGTGTACACATTCACACAATTGAAACCTGATACAAGTTCATGCACAAGAAAGTCTCAGTGCTCTCAGGAATAACAACAAGTGCCGCAGAGCGACAGCGCTTACCTGACGGCAGGTGTTCTGATGCTAAAACTCACTGGCAAACGAATGAAGAGCACCCTCCCATCACCGTGTTTGCGCTCAGAGCATATATCTAAGATATTACTAATACAGATCTAAAATCTATGATAGCTAGGCTTTGCTATACCGGTAGTACAGTAATAAAGATACACATGTGTAACTTTAATGACTTCGCTATATTAACATGTTATCATGGATATGCGTCGAGCGCGAGCGTAGTGGTGGTGGTGGGGGGAGAGTGGGGAAAGCGGGCGGGTGGAGGGGGCTCTAATAGCAAAAGCAGTTGCCGCGAGATGGCGCGTGCAAGTGTCATCAATAATCAAAGATGGCATCACCCTTCGTGCGTGATAACCTCACTCCATTGAGTTGCTGAAATCCAAGTATATTCAGGCAGGCGAGAATTTCGCTCAGCTGTGAGTTAACACATCTGCATTGCAGGTTGCCAGGCAATAATTATGATTAGAATAATGCCAGTTCACCCCCATGCATGCGTAATGGGCTGCCCCATGTTTTTGCCTACCCACGCGAGCATTCAGGGTTCATTTAGTGTGCTAATACAGGCCCGTAGCCAGCTTTATATTGGGGGGGGGGGTTCGTTTTTCAATGTTGGCAATTTGCTCGGCAGG